TGAGTCCGTCACGGTTGGACGCTCTATCACCGTTAGGTCACGGTGGTCCGGCGGAGGTTCATGCTGACATGGGACGCCCTCACATGGAGCAATCTCAAAGCTCACCAAACGGTAATACAAAGGCAAGACGGTGAACCAAGCAGAACTCGCAGAACTCTTATTCCCAACTTGTATTCAATGGCCCTGCTAGGACATCAGAATGGCGTAATCAGCCGAATAAAAACAAAAGCCATCAAATGGCAATGATGACATTGGACCAAACTATAATCCCAAGTAGGTTTCTGACCCATGTGGGATCTTGTTTCACCGAAATAACACCAATGTCACCGGTCAGGGCAGCGGCATCGCGCGACAACCACCCCCAGCCCTCTCTCCACTAACCGACACATCCCGATCCGGCGCCAACTTCGTCTACCGGCTGACATTCCTCCCATATGGCGCCACAGCCGCCACCACGACCATTCATAAACAAATGACTCCCGGCTGGCGGCTGGACCCGGCCACCAGCCCCCGCTGTCAAACCCAAGGCTGGCGTTATCAGTGACAGGTCAAACACGTGTCTGCGTATCTCGGAACAGGTCCGCCGCAGCACAGACCGACGCTGCCGCTTCCGGCTTTGGGCTGGTCGGCTAAAACGTACTAAACGGAGGTGATAATTGATATTAATGATCGCGACATATGTAAGGAAAGATTTCGTCCCATGAATGACTGGGTGCCAAGCAGGTATACTGTTTTGCTATAAAAGTTGAGTGTTAGCCAAAGCATTGTCATCGATGACTGCTTGCTTAATCGACATTAACACCAGTTCAAGACAATCACCACCCATCACCATCACCATTACAATCACGATCATCACCACTGCGTGACGAGCGTCAGGCGGTCATCAGCGGCGTGTGCCGCCCATCAGCCCAGGGCCGGAGGCGTGTCGTGGTGGTCGGTCGCGCGTACCGACAGCCCGACCGACGTGGCGCCTTCGCCTTCGCCGGCGGAACTACAGGGGCTGAGGCACAGAACAGGAAGGCGCTGGGATGTGTAAGGCGCAAGGCGACCAGAAGCTGGGTGTATGAGACCACGGTTGCCTTCGTCCGTCTTGCATACATCCGCTTTCAGATGTATCAATTGGGAAGTTTAGTGTCTTCGCAGAACAGCAATCCAAAAATCGAACGCGAGAAAAGCAGCTGATAAACTTCCATGAATGACGAAATTTCCTGTTTCCAAAAGCGCTCCAAGATGACGAAATATGCGGTTATCTAACGCCGGGTCAACACGCACATCGTCCTGGCGTCTAGCTTCACACCTGGGTGAGTCTCATCTCCGTATCTGTGTGTTTGTTCCCTCTCAGCGCTGTTGACACAGATGTTTACGCCACTCGAGTCTGTGTCCATTTAGGGATCTCATCACATCACTTGTCTTCCCACGGAAAGCGGAGAACCATAGAGAGGCTTACGTAGCGGACTGCCAAGTGTCGCGAAGACTGACGGTCTAACAGCGGTGCCATACAGCCAACGGTATTGTAATGAGATTCGAGCAGCTCCACACTACGTTGAACGTTCCAACGTCTCGACACGACTAGGTCTACTCGAGCCATTCCGAGATCCATCCGGAGGTCCATCTTTGGCAGGTTTAGTTGAAGAGGCGTGACCGAGGCGGTCATGCAATCTGCACGGCGGAGAGTTCGATCCACGGGGGAGCGGCGCCACAGACGGGCAATGGATGCAGCACGCTCGCAGCTTGAGAAGCCAACTGATGGTTGAAAATGGTCCTCTAGGAAAGGTTCGAGCGAAGTTCTCTGATGAAGTGTTCGCGAGAGCCGCTCGACTAATAGCCCGCGCGAGCCGTTCTGAATGACCATCACGACCGCGGACCGCCCCTTCCGACGTGATTCGTGCCTTGTGCCGTTTTGGTATTCGCAGCAGTAAGATGGACCGTTACAAAGAGCTGTTACCAACCGTAGTCCAAAAATGATCTGTAGGGAATCGAAACGACGCTGACTGACTTTACGACCTTGGTCATATCTCGAGTAGAGTTTGGAAAATGGTCAGCCTGAGAGTCGCTGGACGATGACAGCCTGTTCTGACAGGTGCGCCAGAGGCTCCGGCAGCAGCAGCACCATCCCCGCTACCCTCAGCTCCACGACTGCCTTCCGCTCAGCCCGAGGGGAGGTGATTCAGCTGCTCCACCGAGCGGTCAGCTCCGCCGCGCTCACCGTTCGCCGTCGCTGCCTCCAATAAAACGATCTCTGTTCGCCGCCGGCACTGCCCCAGTCTGTTCTGTGCATACGAGTGAGGGCCAATGGCGGACTGGACTGGGCTTGGACTGGAGCGAATCAACTGGACAGGGTCTGTAGGACTGGGAAGGAATCAGGGCTGGAGTTTTGACTTTACTATGACTACCTGAACTGGACTTGAACAAGACTGTAGCTTTGATTTGATGAGGACTGGACTTATCTTGGACCTAAGCTTGGTTTAGACTGGACTGGTTGGTTAGAGATAACAGTTGAGAGATAACAGGCAGATCACAGATGATGACAGGCCCTTGCAGGGGCCCCCATGCCCATCTAGGCCACGGCGCTAGCAAAGAGCGGTCAGCACAAAGCCGCGGCGGCATGGACACTGATAGCTCCTCTCAGCTCCTCCCGGCTGTCCGTTGACAGACGTCGACCACTCGCGCGCACATCGCTCTCCAAGTCAGCGGATAAGCGTCTCTGACCGGGCGACCCACAGACTGTTATCGGTCGGCGACCGGGCGGTGTGTTGTCGGACAACTTCCGGCAAATGATAGCCGAGGTCGGTGGACGACGGGCGGGGTAGGGCGGGGTAGGGCGGGTCGACAGTTTTGAAGGGAGGGGTAGGGGTAGACTAGGGTGGAGGCGGGGTGGAGCACAGCAAAGACGGGCACTTCTAGCGAACGCCACGAGACATTTCCTCGCAGTTGCATGGGACCCAGTTCGCCGAAATTTAATTCGTTGTCTGGACCTACTGAACCGGAGCCCGCATTTCGGCGGCACCAGCCGGGAGCTTCAATAAACACTCTCAGCCGGGACCCAGTTCAAATAAGCAGAGATATTTGTCCAACCAAACATTTCATCCCAGCTACGCACCATGGCACCCAAAAACGTCTGCGTTTGATCACAGAGCACGCCAGGAGTAGTCATTTGTGCGTTTGGAATGTCATCACTCACAATATGGCGTAGTTTAATACTAAGACCAAGCCAGGTCAAAATAGATCAAGCCATGATATGATAACACGAACTGATTGTGCTGCAAAATCGAGGGTTTTCGCTCACACATTCGGGACACGAAATCGAGTTAATTTCTAGCATGGCAAAGGAGTATTGGCAAAGGAGTAATTGGCCGTCAACGTCTGGCGCATCTATCCATCCCTTTCGCCGCTTTCCGCCTTCCCCGAGTGGAAACAATAGTCTCCTTTGAGCGAAAATATGCAGATCCAACCGCCTGAAGAAATCAAGCGAAACAGGCGCGGTACGGATGAGCGACAGACGTAAAGCGGACGCGAGATAGGAGCAAGAGAGGAGCCATAAAGCGAGACGACAGATGGAGCCCGGTCGACGGCCATCCAATCCAAATTCTCGCCGATGCTTTCCCCATCACCAGCCATCTGCTCTGGTGAGGTCATGACCCGAGCGGGGAGAGGTAGAAGCGGAACTCCGCCTCACCGGGCCGACGGCGGCGCCGGATACCCGAGATCCGAGAACGAGGGCCGGGGTGAATGGAAATAATCTGTCGGCGACTTCACACGGCTCCGAGGCTGGCGTTTGGTCCATCAGTCGTCATCGAGGATCCGTCTCTGCCGTCGCTATTACCACATAACCTCGAATCGAGGTTCACGATATGGGTTCAGATGAATCTAGGCAAGGTCTTTGACCTAACCGACTAAAGAGTCAAACCGTGACATGTCGGTTAGTTTGAGCGTCGATTCCTGAGATCCGAGATTCTCACCAAGAATCAGAGAAATACAGCTGAAGTGAGTGTAGTGCATTTCAGATCCCGCGTCGTCCGCCTGCCCGCAAGTTCGTTGGACGTTGCCAAAGACACTGCCAGTCTCTGTCGTCTACGCCAGCTCCGACAGCCTCTGGCCAGTCTCTGCAGTCCGTGTACGGGTCTGTACAGCCCTCTCACAGTATCTGGTCACCCCAGCCTCTGTGTCAGACCTCAGACCGGCGCTCCGAGGGAAGACACGCGGCGCTCCGAGGGAAGACACGCCGCCCGGAGCCCCGGGCGGCGGCGGCGGCCCGCGCCGAGCTGACACCAATGTGCCGACCGCCGGCAGCCCCGCGGCGACCGCTGCAATCTGCATACGGAATGACCCCGGACAGGCACGCTCAGACTCGCCGGTCAGCTCACCGGGACTCAGACCTGGCTCACGGGGCGGGGCAGCTCTCAGTGGCTCCTGGGTCAGCCCAAAGTGGCTCTTCCCTAGCTCAGCTCACTGGCCTCTTCTCTGGCTCAGCTCACAGGGTGGATTAGCTCACCATGGGCCAAAGGATGGGGTAGGTAGCATGCTTATACACATTCGATGACAGCACAAAAGCAAATATTCTAAACAGTCATAAACTGGGCTACTTCACGTGACCCACCATAACCCAAATCGCGTTATAATATCGCAAATATACGCACCCTATGTAAATAAATAAATCAAACCACGGCGTTCCTGACCTGTTCCAATTTTAGAAAGCCGAGGGCCCGCCTAGCCGACGTGACCCTTCACCTTTTCATATAGTTCTGCCCACATGATTCGCCAAGTGGTGAATGGAAAAGAGGCTAACGGATCTCGGCGAGGGAGGATGCCTCCAACACATGCATGAGCCAGTCGGACAGAATATGGCAGTGATTTAGCTACAAAGCACCACATCCCCAGTCAGCACACGTTCATTGGTCTCAGGCACGTCACGAATTTTCAGACACGAGTCATCGTCTGTCTGTCTGACTTCGAGTCAGGACCGTGGGAGTCGATGGGGTCAGCGGCGGAGTTGGACTTACCATAATGTAGAGCAGACTGTCCACTCGGGACCCGTAGGAGACATGGCCTCCGTAGCCCCCAGTTAGAACCATTGTGGTCCGCCGGCCGGTCAGCCCGACCTGACCTGACCTGACCTCACCCGGTCACCGGTCAGAAGCCGCGGCACTCATAATTCCGAACACCTCTCCGAGTACTCTCGGACACGCCGAGCACTAAGAGCACTCCAGGCACTCGAGCCACTCCAGGCACCCCCTGAGACACTACCTCAGCTGATCAGCTGACACTGGGCACTCGAATATGCTCAACTCAACACAACTCTTCTTCAATCACTCGCCTCACGGCTCGTCGCAGTACATTGCTGGAAGGACCACCTCACTCAGCGGAGGTGGACCACCTCGAGCCCCACCTCCGGCCTTTGGACACGTCACCACAACTAGCCGGTTAACCTTACCGACCACTCTGCAAGCCCCGACGGCCAACTGTGCGATGTCACAGTACGGCCAAACTGAGGCCAGACTACGTCCACAGCACGGATAAGGGCGGACCAGCCGGCTCTCACACTGCGATAAAGTCAGAGTCAGCTGTGTCGTCCGACTGTACTGACCACCACTCCTCTCACAGCCACAGAAGCAGAGCTGCGTAAGCTCCGCACCACAGAGCTGTGTCAGCTCGCAGTCAAGCTACGTTATCTCTGCCACACAGAGCTTCGTCAGCTCGTCTGCAGCTCCCCACACAGAGCTTCGCCACCTCGTCACCAGCTCACCACCAGCTCACAGACACTGAGGCCCCGCCGCGGACGCACCGACCTCGGCTGGTCTCTGACGCTGACTGGCGCCGGACGGTCCAGAGGCGAGTGGCGTCGAGCGGCCAGCCAGGGCCCGGGCCAGCCAGCCGGCCGGCCGGCGGGGCGGAGGCGAGCGGTGGAGACAGAGGTGGAGGGAGGTCGAGAGAGGGAGGTGGGTGGGTCCATGGGGTAGAGGGTGTGAGGAGCTGAACTGACAGGATGCGGAAAGTGCAGGAAAAGGGAGGCGCAGAGTACGAACTGAAGATGCTGATTGGGTGTAGAATGATAAATCACTTGAAGACAGAAGGACGGAAAAGGGGAACGAACATGCGATCAAGAAAAGTGATAAAAGGTTACGGGTAAAAACTAAAAAGGGAACAAAAAAGGCGAGTCATACAGAAGAAAAAGACAAAAAGATGTATACTGAATATGGCGGACATTACTCAGGAAGGAGCAAGGAGACGGTAGGTATGAAGAATCAGCTGACTGGGTAGAGCAAGGGAGGCCGTCTGGGCAGAGCGGTGGAGGAGCGCCCGCCCCAGTCGGACAGCCGGGCCGTGGGATCGCGACCGATGGCCTCCAGTCGGCCCGACACCTCTCTCCTTCCAGCCGACCCCTCTCTCCTTCCACCCGGCCCCTCTCTCTTCAACCTCGCTCTCTTTCCATCCACCGGCGGCGTTCGGCGAAACCCGGGGAAGGCACCGCGAACCCACGTGGCTGGCTCATAGACACCGAGAGAGGAGGGGCGGCGCCGACGGGAGAGGGAGGGGGGGGGGCGGCGCCGGCCAGCGGAGGTGGGTGGCCCAGACGGGGGCGGAGCAAGTTGGCAGTCGCTGAAAGAAGACCGATTGCAGTATTGTCCATGGACTGACTACAGCGAATGTCGCAACTGACACTGCCGTGCCTTCACCTGGTCAGATCGACCTCCAAGTCAGGCCAGCCCAGGTCACGTCAGGTCAGGTCAGGTAAGGCCATATCAGATCAGGTGGAATTGGTATGCACTGAAGCCGTTCCAGGATTATTGCGCCTCCACGATACGTCCGCGAATGGTGTCTACTGTCTATGCACCAATACCGGGGGTCAGAGGGGTCTGCAGTTGGACTCTGAGAGCGCCCCGGCGACCGAAGCGATGGTGACCTTGCCGGCTAATGCGTCGGTGACCGAACGCCACCACCCCTGGTGGTGATGTTGGTGGTGGTTGTGATGGTGGCAGTGGTGACTGGTTACTGTCGCATCTTAAGGTCAGGGCCAATACATGCAAAGATGAGACCTTTCCAGCACCAAACTCCACGAAATAGATCCCACAACCCATCGTTTGGGGCATCCATCTCATGACCACATATCCCAGTCTACATGCAAATCTGTCCAATCACGGTCCATCCGCATCTTTCCACATCACAATTTCATCTAGCCGTGTCTCCAAAACCGTCCATTTTCCATTCACATCGACAAAACATCCGACAGGGCTGGACTGGCGGTTGGTAAAGCGTGCGCGGGGGCGGTGCCGGTCGCGTGGGGGCGGGGGCAGATCACGTGGGCGGACGCGGGGGCGGGTCGGCTCATCTGTCCCGTCCATCCCGACGAACGACGCGGGCCGTCCCGCCGCCGTCGGTCGGAGGTCAGTCGCGTCGCCGCCGGCTGCGGGCCGCTCGTTAATAACCATCGCCGTGGCTCATGTATCGACACATGTAAATGGCGAGGTCATTAGCGTCCGGCGCCGCCAGTGAAAGTACTCCGAGAAAGAGCCACCAGCTCTCCACCGGTGTGAGCTATGGTCTACCACTGGGAGAATCCCCACACAGCTCACAGAGTGAAGCTGGCCTAGTTTACATTCGCATGAGATAACCCTTTGTTCTGAAGTTAATTACCAGTTCGTGAGCATCAGAAACAAACTTCCGGCACTGAACATCTCACAGTGTGGGGCGATTTTCACACAGCTCAGGCCGGCGGCCGGTCCATTCGGGTCTATCTGAGATCGGCCGGGGCCTCGGTCACACTCTCCCTCCCGCCGGGGTGGGATGTGGAAACAGACACCTCGCCCCGCACGTCACGGTGCTGCCCAGGGGCTGGCGGCGGTATCTACATACGCGCCACAGAGCCGAGCGTTAGATGGGATAGGTACACCTCCATGGATGGAAGACTATACAAGACAGCCTCGAGGGAACAGTCGTGTCTCATACATACTCATGCAAATTGTCCGTAGAACCATCAAGAAAAACGTTGTCATTGTGAAACAGACAATCTGCCTACTCACCACACGATTTCGGTTATTTCGAAGTGGGTATCTGACAATCATGACCTATTCAAAACCGAAAATTGTTGGTCGGAGAAAAGATAGGCGGCCCTGAGAGTAAGCACTCAAATCTCAGCCCACACCAGGCCGACCCAAGGTCTCATCCTGGGCGGGAGGGGACACGTCTCGGCCAAACGAATCACTAGAAAGTGCGTACTCCACGCCGCCTGTACCGCCGGCGGTCTCTGACGAATAGTTCCGCGGCCACAGCCGACACCGCGTGGGCGTCGCCGTCAAGGGCGCCCACCGCGGCGCCCAGAGACAGCCGCGAGATCGGGAGACGCACTCCAGACACGACCGAGAGACGCGCGAGACACGCGCGAGGCATGCGAGAGACGCGTGCGCAGTGTGTGAAAGATAACACACATGCCAGCCAGCGAAACAGAACACCCGAGCTGCGTGATACGCACTCGATCTCCCCGCACCAAAACCCTGACTCGGGCTATTTCCCAGGCTCCCGCTCGAGCTCTCCCGAGCTGCAGCGCCACGCCAGAGCTGCGGCGGCGTCTGCGGCGCGGATTACCGCCCTCCCGACCACCGATCGTGGGCTAATCCGACTCTCAGCTCGCTAAGGTCGATCAGGAGGCCGGAGAGCCATTTAGCAGCCAGTCCGTATAAGGAGCCGAGGTGTAGCCCGCAGGCGGTGAAGAGAGGCGCGGCAATATCCCAGGGAGGCTGGGACGGCGGGTAGGCCGTGAGCCTGGCACGCGTCGGCCGGATGGTGGGGGTAGTCTGAGGTAGTGCGGGCAAAAACTCACCTCTGCATAGATTAGAGCGCGCAGCGAGGAGAACTCGACTCGCTCCATCGGTAAGCAACCAAAGTCGAACCACCCGTCGTCGATGCGAAACAACACTTCCGAATCAAAGGTCACTCTCAACCAGCCGGTCGTCAGCGAGCTTTTCCGAGTAACGAGTCCTGCGAATACCCGCTGACCCCACAACCCCGGCAGGTCGGCAGAGCAGCGCGGTCGTGCGCCGACGGCACAGCCGTGTTTAATTAGCCAAACAAGCCGGGGCTCCGTTTACACGGCCCACGCCCATCGTTCATTAGTTGAGCGCCGCGTCTGCTGCCCACGTCGACGAGATTGAAAACACGGCGTGTGTGCTGCTCGGAGAGAGAGAGAGAGAGAGAGAGAGAGAGAGAGAGAGAGAGAGAGAGAGAGAGAGAGAGAGAGAGAGAGAGAGAGAGAGAGAGAGAGAGAGAGAGAGAGAGAGAGAGAGAGAGAAAGAAAGAAAGAGAGAGAGAGAGAGGGGGATCCACACACGATTTGGAGAGCAATGGAACAACTGACACGTGGCGCAAGGTGATCCGACCTGTCCCAACCTCACCTATCCCGTCCTGTACCGTTCTTTTCCGTCCCAAGCCGTTCAGTCCCAGCTCGGGGACGCAGTCACCCCGCTGGACGGTAGACACTGCCGGTGGATTGATGTTATTCTTCCATTTCACAGCGAACAATTCACTTTTTTCTCGTTCAGTTCGAGAGTAGAAACTCCCGATCGGGCCACCCCATTGTCATCCCGTCTCGCCTATGCTCTCCCTCCCTCTCTCCGCTCTCGTTCTCCGCTCTCTCCCCGCCCCTCTCTCCCCTCTCGGCGGGGTGCCGGACCGTGGCAGTGCGGTGTCAGCCGTGGCTGACCTCTGACCCGACACCGGGTGTCAGGTGTCAGACGAGCAGTCACGACCCAACCGGCCACCGAGGAGCGCGGTCAACAACGTGCAGAAGACGAGACGGGGAAGAGGCGGCCTACAGAAACGAATGTTACTAACTAATGAAAACTAATAAAAACATGGCTTGCATTCTTCTGTTTTACACTACCCAGATGCACCAACATCTATCAAAGGAACTCTGCATCTATGTCTCAAGTCCAAGTTTCCCTACATATAATCACATAAAATCAAGTGTCAGCCAAAAAGAGTCGACGAATCGAAAATCCCCTAATCACAAAGCCTCGGCATTAGATCCAGCTCCGGCCGGTTTCCTCTGTTCAGCGGCGTCACCCGTCACCTATCACCCTGAAAAAACACACTGTGAGTCCGACGCCGCCCAACGATGGACAGTGGAGCCCCGTCGGCACACTGTTTACGGTATATAGGACCTTGCTGTTTACGCTCGCGGCTAACTGGCCGGGTCATTAGCGGGGATCGTGTGGTGACGGTACGCTGACGGACGTAGGAGCTCAGAGACTGGGTCGGTCTGACAGAAAGGACAGCTCAGAGGCTGGGTCGGTGTACCAGAAAGGACAGCTCAGAGGCTGGGTCGGTGTACCAGAAAGGACAGCTCAGAGGCTGGGTCGGTGCATCAGAAAGGACAGCTCAGAGGCTGGGTCGGTGCATCAGAAAGGACAGCTCAGAGGCTGGGTCGGTGTACCAGAAAGGACAGCTCAGAGGCTGGGTCGGTGTACCAGAAAGGACAGCTCAGAGGCTGGGAGAGAGACTGAGAGGTTAACGAGTCAGTCCATTAGACTAGAAGTCAGAGACTGTCGGGAGAGTCCGAAGGACATGCAAGACTGGGAGGCGCACAAGCCACAACCTGAACCTGTCCCAGTGTCCCACCGATCGTCAGCTAGAATAGTTATTCCAGCGTTCTATGAAGGATGCATGCCTAACATGAATGGCGTCGTTGGCGTCGTACCATGTACGAGGGGGTATCGAAAAGTTCTGATCATCACCATGAATTAGATGTGATAGAAATTTGATTTTTTTACATGATGTTCATTACTCCTTTACAAGTCACCACACACGACCGCAAACTTATTGCATCG